TGATCTCTATCCAGGTACTCAGCAACCTTACAGATGTGAATACGATATTCTTTCCATTAGGGTTGAAACAACTAATCGACATTATTGATTATAATCAATTATGTAAATAGTTGTCAACTGTTTTCTTTATCGATTAGTTGGTCAGCCGATTAGTTGGCATGCATAGAGAATGCTTTATTTGTTTACATATCAGAAAATACAGTGCAGCACACATACATCTCAGTACACCATCCATACATGTTAGTAAGTGGCTGCAAACTTGTGAATGTGAAAAGTAAGTGTGAGGAGCAATGCCTTGTGGAACAAGTAGTAGTGGGCAGGAGAAGGAAGTAATGATTCTAAAGCTAGAAGTTTTTTTCCCTTGCTGTAGGGGCACTCTATACTATACTTTGCAGCTTACTATAGGGGTACTTTGAAGGCAGGAGGAGCCAGAAGCACCAGTGGGGGACTCCAGAAGAGGAGAATCAGGGCTGCTCTGTGCAATGGTTTTAGTAAGTATGATACATTTGGATTTTAAAAAAAAAATGTTGCATTTACAATCACTTTAAGGCTAGATTCACATCTACAGTGGATATAAAAAGTAAACACACCCCTGTTAATATGTCAAGTTTCTGTTAAAGTTAAATAATTTCATTATTTTTTTTTAATCACTTAAAATTTTATTGAATTTTAACAAAGAAGTGATACAGAGTAGTAAAAGCATTTAGAAAAGCTATAAATACAATTCTGAACAGAAAACATATAGGTAACAAAGTAAGAGGTGTGTATGCAGGATGCACATCAGTAAGGATTACTGTTCATCCTGACCCGGGTATCAACCAAATAAACCACATAAAAAAACCCAAAAAACTACAGGAGATATGATAACTCAATGCAGGCCGTATACTGTCATAATGTGAACCTGGATCAGATGTACTTCACCAATGATATTTCAAAACCAGGCAGGAGCTATCTGAGAAGAGGGTCACTGGAGAGGTCATTTAGCCAAGGTGACCAATTTGCTAGAAATTTGGGGATTGTTAAATGTGCTTTGGCAAACATATATTCCGTGTTTAGATTTTGGTTAAGAATGGAAATAAGTTGTGGGATATTTGGTGGGATCTGATTTTTCCACGTGCGTGCAACAGATAGACGTGCTGCTATCAAAATATGTGTGATAATGGAATGGTACTGTCTAGGCCAGGGGTAGGCAACCTGAGGCTCTCTAGCTGTTGTGGAACTACATTTCCCATGAGGCATTGCAACATTACAAAACTGACAGTTAAAGCTATGACTTGCAGAGGCATAATGGAACTTGTAGTCCTGCGACAGCTGGAGAGCCGCAGGTTGCCTACCCCTGGTCTAGGCCATTGCTCCAGGCCAATTCCGAAGCGCCAGTTAGAGTGTAAGATCCAGCAGGCTGGAGAATGGGATAAAAAAGATGGGAGAGTTTTGCTGGTGTATAATACCAGTTGTAAAGAATTTTTGGGGCTGTTTCCCAGTGGGTGAGATTTCTAGAGAATCGTAGTGTAGATTGAGTTGCTGAATACCATTCAGTTAAGTCTGACTGGAAGTTGAGCGAATTTTCCCAAGTTTCCATAGAAGGCAATTTTTGTTCTAACCATTGGGAGTGTAGCAGTTTATAGAGGTGTGAGATTCCTTTTAACGAGGTTGATGAGTGTTCAAAGAAGTGTATAATATCTGCAGGGAGAGAGTCGTCCGACCATTGAGTTGAATTCAAGGCATGACGAGTCCGAAGAAAGTTGAAGAATTCCCGATTGTGGATGTTGTATGTAGAATGTAGTTCTTCAAAGGAGTGTATTTTGTTTTTATCAAAAAGATCTCCTATGGAGATAATTCCAGCTGTTGTCCAGGCACGTAGAGAGAGATCTGGACATATACGTTCGATTGATGATAGAGGGAGGTACTTCAAACCCTGTCTTGAAAGGCCTTTGTTTTGCTGATGTAACAATAAAAGTTTGTAGAGCTACTGTATCGTTAACTGAGCTGAGAAATGAGCGTGTAGGGTAATAACATAGGCAAATTGCAGCTAAGGTTTGTTTAGTTTCGTGTGTTAGTGCTCTTGCTTCAATTTGTACCCAAGATGAATGAGGAGAGCGAGTCCACCATTGTTTAGCTTGGTTGAGTATGAAATCATTTCACTTCTAACCACTTCTCGACCACCCTATAGCAGAAATACTGCTACAAGGCGACATGGGTGCGCAAAATCACATATATATAATGATTTTGCATTTATGGGTAGGGGGTGCATGCTCCCTAGCAGCGCTGCCATTCACGGCCGAGGCTGTCAATCACTGGGCCCCGGCCGTAATTACCTGCAGGTGCTGATGATTACTGAGCATCTCTGATGGGGAAGAAGACTGTTTTGTTTACAAACAGTCTTCCTCCCTGTCAGCTCGGGCACACTGCTCGGGATGGCTGTGCACAGTAAACAACATGGTTGTTAACCACTTGAGCACCTGAGGATTTACCCCCCTTAATGACCAGGCCTCTTTTTGCTACTCGGTGCTGCACTAATTCAACTGATAATTGCGCGGTCATGCAATGCTGCACCTAAACGAAATTTACGTCCTTTTTTTCACACAAATAGAGCTTTCTGTCAGTGTAATTTGATCACCTGTGCGCTTTTTATTTTTCACGCTATAAACAAAAAAAGGCCAAACATTTTGAAGAAAAACAATATTTTTTACTTTCAGCTATAAAAAATATATAGTAAACTCAAAGTTGGTTATAAATTTAGGCCAAAATGTATTCTGCTACATGTTTTTGGTAAAAAAAATTCCAATAAGTGTATATTGATTGCTTTGTGTGGAAGTTATAGCGTCTACAAACTATGGTATAAATACTGCAATTTACGCCATTTTTCTGCTATACAGCGCTGCGCTAGTTTAACAGACAATTACGCGGTCATGCAATATAGTACATAAATGAAATTTGCATCCTTTTTTTCCCCACAAATTGAGCTTTCTTTAGGTGGTATTTGATCGCCTGTGCGGTTTTTTATTTTTTGCGCTATAAAAAAAAAGGCTGACAATTTTGAGGAAAAAAAAACAATATTTTGGACTTTTTGCTATAAAACATGTCCAGTAAAAAAAAAAATGCAAAAATCTAATTTAGTCATAAATTTCTGCCAAAATGCATTCTGCGACATGTCTTTGCTAAAAAAAATCCCAATACGTGTAAATTAATTGGTTTACGCGAAAGTTATAGCGTTTACAAATGGCGGGAAAGATACTGGGATTTTTAATTTTTATTTATACTAATAATGGCGCCGATCAGCGACTTTTGGCGGCAACCAGCGACATATGGCGGCGACCAGCGACTTATGGCAGGACTGCGGAACAGCGGCGGACATTTTGACACTGGGGGGGAACTGACTTGGGGTCACTGACATCCCCAGTGACACCAATACAGTGATCAGTGAAAAAAAACCACTGAAACTGTACTAATGTCACTGGGGAGGAAGGGGTTAACATTTTTAGAATTTGCAGTGTAAGGGGAGTGTTTTACTAGGGGTCGGGGGTGTGTACTGGACGGGGGAGGGAGGGGGGAGCTGATCGAGGGAGAAAAACTCTGCAGCTTCTCACAAGCTGTCAGAGAACTGACACAGAACAGGGCTGTGTGTAAACAATGCAGCCCTGCTCTGTGTTAGCGATCACCGGCAATCGCGGGAAAATGGCCGGTAAAAACCGGCCGTGACCCGTCGGCTGACACCCGCTGCTGACACCCGTGGGACAGGTAGGGCGGGCGCGCGCCCCCTACCTGTTTTGAAGGCAGCCGTTTTAAAACGTGCTTTTGCCTACGAGCGCCGCCCTGCCACAGTTTATATGCGGTGGCTGGGCGGCAAGTGGTTAAGGAGCTGGTGTACGCCGTATCCTTAACAACTGATGAGTTATCAGCTGTCAGCGGGGCTCCCCACTGACAGCTGAATATAAAGAAACATTGACGGCAATTAATTTGAAAAATTGAGGAAAAAACAGCGTGGGGTCCCCCCCAATCCATTTCCGACCCTTCGGATCTAGTATGGATTTTATGGGAACCCTATGCCAAAATTTGAAAACAAAAACTGTGTGGGACAGCAGGAGAGTCTATTATATGCAAAACACAATTTGCTGTGGGAAATAAAGTCCCTGATCCTTTCAAAAATCCGCACTGGCTCAAAATGCACAGATGTGAACTAGTTCTATTGGAAATCATGTTAAATGAACTGTAGTACGTTTCTGCAAACTGGAAAATGCACTGAAATTCGATAAGTGTGAACCTAGGGCAAGGGCTCTGTGCAGTGAAGATCAGCATCTGAACCCAGAGAAGCTGGAGGCTGACAAACTGGAAATAATATAAAGCATTACAATTAAACCTAAAGTAAAATTTTACCATTATAGTGCATTATATTTAAAATGATTATATTCATGAAAAAAGTCTCAGCCTTTAGTACTTTAATAAAAAAGATTTATATTCCCCCTCCACCCTTCATATAGTTTTATGTCTGCCTCCCAGTTGAAATACACTGTATAATCCTGTTTAAGGGATTTATTTATTTTTATATGTATATATAACTATATAACTTTCACTGTTTCACAGTATAAATTAACCCCTTATAGTGAATATCTGCTGTTTTTGTACTATTAATTTTTTTTCTTTTTTTGACCTCATCATGACAGGTGATAAAAAAGCATGCTGCTGCTAATAAATGTCTTATGCTGGCCATGCACATATTGATTTTCAGGAAAGAATATTCATACAAAAATTCTTTGTGTGTTCAAAAATTTTACTTGCTTTTAACATTCAATTTTAACCGCCTCCCGCCCGCCATATAGTAATATGACGGACGCAAGGCGGTTCTCTCGTTCTGGGAGGACGTCAATTCTAACCGCGCATGCGCGGCTCCCGGAGCACGCAGCGCGGCGATCGGCAGTGCACAGCGGATCACCAATCCACGGAAAGAGCCGAAGATGTCGGCTCGGTCATGTGATCAGCTGTGTCCAATCATAGCTGATCACATGTAAACAGGGAAATGCTGGTTATCGGCATTTTCTCTCCCACGAGCTGTCATACTGACAGAGGAGAGGATGGGAGAGCCGGTAATCGGCATTCCTCGAAGGGGACATCTACACAGATCATCAGAGCACTGATGATTAGTGTGCCCTGATAATCTGTGTAGCCCCCAGCAGCGCCACCTGTCAGTGTCCATCAGTGCCAGCTCTCAGTGCTCATCCATGCCACCTGCCAGGGCCCATCAGTGCCACATCAGTGCCACATTTCAGTGCCACATCAATGCCACATTTCAGTGCCCATATGAACTGCCTTTCAGTGTCACCCATCAGTGCCACCTATCAATGCCAGTCATTGCCACCTATCAGTGCTGCCAATCAGTGCCACCTATCAGTGCCAGTCAGTGTCGCCTATCAGTGTCAGTCAGTGCCGCCTATCAGTGTGCATCAGTGCTGCCTATCAGTGCCCGTCAGTGCTGCCTATCAGTACCGCCTAACAGTGCCAGTCAGTGCCACCTAACATTGCCAGTCAGTGCCGCCTATCAGTGCCGCCTATCAGTGCCATATATGAGTGCTGCCTTTCAGTGCCCATCAGTGATGCCTGTCAATGCCCATCAGTGCCTCCTCATCAGTGCCCATCAGTGTCCATCAGTGCAGCCTATCAGTGCCCATCAGTGCAGCCTCATTAGCGCACATCAGTGAAGGAGAAAAATCACGTATTTACAAAATTTTATAACAAAAACTAAGAAAAAACTTTTTTGTTTAAAAATTTTCAGTGGTTTTTGGTTTGTTTAAGAAAAAATAAAAAACCCAGAGGTGATTATATACCACCAAAATAAAGCTCATTCAAAGCTCTGAAAGCTGGAAATTGACCTGGGCAGGAAGGGGGTATAAGTGCCCTGTAGGCTAGTGGTTAAAATGAATGTAATTTCTCAATGAAAACCCACATACACTCTCCAAAAGTTTGTTCAATCGAGAAAAGTTTTCTATTCTTCTTTGAATTATCCTGTCACTGTGGTTGAAAACGAACACTGACCCCACTAACAAATAGAAATTCGAATGAACGTTCTTAAACAAATATTTTCTAAGGAAGAATTTGTGTATTTTCCGAGAAAATCGGATAAACGGTTGTCTGATTTTTTGTGAAGGTACATATCATGATGTAGCCGACAATGGTATTAACTTGTATGAAAATTCTTGAACGACATGTTTCTATGTTTGTTGCCACCTTCTTGTGGGTCAATCTTTGCTTCTGATTATGCACTTTTTTTTTATTTGATTACTTACGTATGATTACTGTACAAGTTGAGCGAAAAATTCGGATATTGTGTTCACATGTGATAAAAATTTTCTTACTTGCACCTTCGGGTTTTATCGTCGAACAGTCAGAATCATCTGTTTAAAGAACTGCACTAACAATCAGATTGACCAAATGTTCTTCCAATTTTGTTATAGTATGTACTCAGCTTATGTGACACCAGGTGTAAGTAGCTTGTATCAAACTACAGTGGTACCTCAGTTTATGAATGCCTTGGTAAACGTAATTTTTGGTTTACGAATGAAAATCCATTGAAAATAATGCCTCGGTTTACAAATTTTTTTGGCAATACAAAGCAAGTTTCCCCAAGGTTTCCTCCCGTGCATGCTGGACTCTGTGGGTAGCACGTCGCGTTGACTGTGGAGGTGTTTTTCAATGCATTCCTATGGGAAACCGCGTTTCGGTTGATGAATTTTTCACAATACGAAAAAGGAGGACGCATTCAATTTGTAAACCGAGGTACCACTGTACCTGCCTATAATAAGGGAGTCTATCATGCATAATATTATACTATAATCCTGTCTGAAAATCTGAAAAACAGTGCTTTAGGTCTTTTTCAATTTTCCTTTAAATTTTGATTTTCAAGCCTTATGATATGTACCAGATTCAACCTCTAATAGTGCATACATACATATATATATATATATATATATATATATATATATATATATATATATATATATCTTCTGTTATTCTCAGAGTGGATTAGATTAAATATTTTGTAGTTTATAGCTGGTTATTTATATTTACCACTGCATATAGATTGTCAAGAATAAATGATGTTTTTTTTAAACTTTGCTTGAGGTTTTCTATCTGATTAATTGATTGATCGAAACAATAATCAGCCAACGAATCGATTATGAAAAATAATTGTTAGTTGTAGCCCTATTAGGGGTGGACTAACAACTCATGGGCCCCTGGGCAATAGGGGACCATGGGGCCCCTGTGTCCTTGCCCAAACTCAACAAAGCCTATGAAAAGGTACCAGGGACATCTCATGGGGCCCCCTACTGACCCCCGGGCCCTCGGGCAGTGCCGGGTTTCCAAATGGTCAGTCCGCCCTTGAGCCCTACTTTCCATCTTATTCCATTAGCTATGCACATTACAAAGGCTACACGATAAGGTCTCTACTGGGGATTTATGATGTTTTTGTTTATTTTCTATTCTTCTTTTGCAAGATACCCCATTTTTTTCTGTATGGAAATCAAAAGAAAGGCAGATGTTGATGACACTTCATTCCCTTCAGGCTGGTAGACCAGGAATGTACCTGGAGGAGGCAGAGTGTGAAGCTGTTAATGGTGCCATGTTGGAAGTTCCTGGTCTGCAAATTGTATCGACTAAATGTGATGTGAAGTTGGAGCTGCTTGTTTTCTTGGTCATTGCATGCATGGGGAGTGTATTTCTCAGTGTCCTGGCTTGTGAAATTTTGTAGACTCCTGACTAGTGCTATATCAGGCACACAATTAGAGAGGATGCAATCATCCTCATCATTGCTTTGCATAGGCCTCTTGTGGACAGATTCAGTCTCACTGGTTTCTTAATCATATTGAAATGTCACTTGAAGCTAAGTGAGTTTTGTATAAAAAAAAAAAACAGATATTCATCATCCGTGTTAGCATGGAAGAAAAAGAAAAGCAATGTTTCAAAGCCAATAAAAAATGGATTTAATGTGCTTACTCTCGGAGAGTATAATTCATATTCTTTATAAAGTTTGTTTACCTTCATCATTCACTATGAGAATTCCCCTTTTCCCTGCTGTTCGATTCCCAAATGTATTGTGTTTGTCAGACAACATGTGGCATAAGCTTTAATGCCTTTATAACCCTTCAAATTTTAATTTCAATTGGGAAGCCCCAAAACATTAGTCAGAAATATGGAACCATTTGAACACGGAGAAAAATTATGACTTATATAGTGAATGCAGGAAGAGATGTTAGCGTGTTGAAAATGTCACCGATAGTATAACTGATATGTGATGGCCAGCACTCTATGAAATCATTTTCCTTATAAACAGAAAGGAACAAAGGGTATATATACAAAGTACTCAACATGATCCAGTTATGTATTTAGTATAAGAATGCATTTTACATGGAAACCTTTCTAAAAAATCTCTCTCAAAATTGGTTGCAGACCCTTACATATACCAGGTGGCTTCTGATGATACATAGAAATGAAACAAATCCTCCTACATAAATTGTATCCTGTCTACCTGCCGTCTTCTCTTCTCTACATCCGTGTCAAAGTGCTGAATTTATAAATCTTGTCCGAGAGTTCAGAAAACAGAGGGAGGGGAGCTGAAACTACACACTGTAAAGCTCAGTGAAGAGAGCTCTGAGAGCTGTTTGGAGGGAAGAGACACACTCCCTCTACACAGCTCACAGAAACAGAGCTGAAGCTGTCAATCTGGAGCTCCCTGCCCCTGTCACCTTTTTTCTCTTGGTGTCAGGAATGCTTGTCTGAAGTAACTCGTGCTGATAGCAGAGGAACAAGGTAGCAGATAGGAATGGCACTTAGTGTTCTGGATTTAGACAAGCACACACTATAGTGGGATATGCTTTGTTCATATTTCTTGTCTGAGGTTTACAACCACTTTAACCTCCCTGGAGGTATTCACGAATGTAGCTCGGGGTAAAGTTTCAGCACCACAAGCGGTAACCCGAGCTACACTTGGGAATACCTTGCAGCGTTGCTCCGGGATCTCTTCTTCACTTACCTTGTCCTTTAAGTGAGTGGGTGACCTCAGGGGCGGACTGACCATTTTGAAACTCGGGCACTGCCCGAGGGCCCGGGGGTCAGTAGGGGGCCCCATGAGATGCCCCCTGGTACCTTTTTCATAGGCTGTTTTTGAGTTGGGCAAGGGACACAGGGGCACCATGATCCCTATTTGCCCGGGGCCCCATGGAGTTGTCAGTTTGCCCTGGGTCACCTTTAATATGTTAGTGTATATTCAAAAGTAATTTTTTTCTAACTTATTAAATCTACAGTTTTTATTAAAATATTACCCAGTGACCTGCTTTCTTATTCAGGCAAATTCCTATTATGGGACAAAAGGTCATGTAACTGTTTAACAAGGGCGGACTGACAACTCATGGGGGTTCCAGGCGAATAGGGGATCATTGGGGCCCTGCGTCCTTGCCCAAAACTCAAGAAAGCTATGAAAGGTACTAGGGATTCTCCATGGGGCCCCT